TAAACATTGGAAATCCAAAAGCAAGAAACAAGAGGAGCGTAGAAGGCTCAATCGATTAAGGGTCCACCTCTGGATTTCTGCTCAGGTCATTTGGTTCACAATTTGTCTGTTACATCCCCACACCGGGATCTGCGCTGACAGCTCTACGCCTGCTTGGAATTCTCGCTGTTTATTTCTCTGCTTCTCCCCAGCTTGCCAACAGGATGGTTCTCCATCTCTCTCTCTGTCTGTCTCTCTCATTCTCTCTGTCTGTGTCTCAGGTCCTCTCTCTCTCTCTAGATAAACAAACCGATTAAACGATTAAAGTAAACAATGGAGAGCAAAAACACAATTCCTACAGACCTGGTTGTTTCTGAAACCTGGTCTAGAGATACCGACACATTAAAGCCACCGCTTACACGAGGACGCATTGTTCCCTGCATTAGCAAATCCCAACGTCAAACTCTGTATAAAGGTCACAAATCCACAGCAAACAGGTTCTGAATCAAGGGACCCGAAAACCACCTTGCTACGTCATTTCCCAGGAGTCCCAGTGAAACTCTGTTAAAGGACGGATTTACCATACGTTCTCCTATTGGGAAGGGGACGTACGTTCTCTTATGGGGAAGGGCACTCCACAATTCAAAAAGGATTTCCAAAGCCGCAAACCAGACACAGGATGTCTCCTGTTACCATTTCCAGGCCACATCTACCTAGAAAAAGATGTTTCCAATGACCTTCATGATAGCTGTACACACGCATCACACGGAGAGAGTTCTGGAGATTTAAATCAAAGCCATGAACAGTCCTCATTCCCAAATAATTTGTTGGGAGGCACAGACTTTCTGGCTGATGGAGAAGAGGCCCTCCGAAATGATAGTTGAGCTGAATTGGTGAAACGGTTTCCATTGCCTGAGAAGTTAATAGCCCTCCTTCCTTGACACTTTATGGTATCGAAAAGCAAAGTGGAGACTCACAAAAGGACTTGCCCGAGGCTGGCAATTCTCAAGTCAGGGTGTCCAGAGAGGGAGCGATGGAACGGAGGGAGGCAAAGCAAGGGGTGAGCTGTGTTCTGGGTCCCTTGAGGGAGGGAGGGGGTGCGCTTAGGCTGGGCTGAGTGGTGCCTCTGCAGAAGAGTGACCACACCCACAGACTTTGGATGGCATCTCCAGCTCGTAGCTGATTGGATGATGTGTTCCTAGACGGGTGGGTGGGGCGAGCTATCAAAGGGCCGAGGAGAGGGCCACCGCTGTCCCGCTGAGACCGGCCTCCTGAGAGAAGCATCGGTGTGCCGCGCGAGGCTCCGCCTGCGAGATCGTGTCAGCGCTGCTGCCGGGGACATGGAGGCTGCTTCTGCCCGCTGCCCAGAGGAGTTTCAGTTCAATGTCTTTCCGAATCTCACATCGTGCTGGCCCACGACAGCGGGTGCTGAAGGCCACAGGGGGCCCGCAGCTCTAGCCGAGGTGCCATCACCATCGTCGCAGACGCGCTGCAACCTGCCTAATGGTTGGGCTCCCGCGTCCACACGGCTGGCTCCCTACGGGGACACTGGGAGTTGGAGGGGACCCCCTGGGATCGGCGCTGGGCTGCAGAACGTGGGAAACACGTGCTACGTGAACGCAGCCCTGCAGTGTCTGACCTACACACCACCCCTCGCCAGCTCGATGCTGTCCCAGGAGCACTCCCGAAGCTGTGGGAAGCACACCTTCTGTGTGCACTGTGCTCTGCAGGCTCACGTGACCTGGGCCCTCGGCCGTCCCGCAGATGTGATCCGGCCTCCTCCCACACTGCTCACCGCCTTCCACACCCACAGGCAGGAAGATGCCCATGAGTTTCTCATGTTCACGCTGGATGCCATGCAGCAAGCGTGGACGCAGGAGGACAAGCCTTCAGGGCCTCAGGCTGACGACAGCAGCCTCATCCGGCAAATCTTCGGAGGGTACTGGAGGTCGCAAATCCAGTGTCTCCGCTGCCAGGGAGTTTCCAGCACTTTGGACCCTTACCTGGACATTAGCCTGGATATCAGGGCAGCTGAGAGTGTGAGCCAAGCTTTGCAGCAGTTGGTGCAGCCCGAACGGCTCGACGGGGAAAATGCCTATCATTGTAGGACTTGTCTCGACAAGGTACCTGCGTCCAAGACGTTGACTCTGCACACATGCTCCAAGGTCCTGATGCTCGTATTGATATGATTCTCCCATTTCATGGGCAACAAACTGGCTCAGGAAGTCCAATATCCTGAGTGCCTGGACATGCAGCAGTACATGTCTGAGCCGAAGGCGGGATCCAGGATTTACGTGCTCTACGCTGTCCTGGAGCACTCGGGGTGGAATTGTCAGCACGGACATTACTTCTGTTACATCAAAGGTGGGAATGGCCAGTGGTACAAAATGGATGATGCGAATGTCACCGCCAGTGATGTGACTTCTTCCCTGAGCCAACATGCCTATATCCTCTTTAAATAGATATGTGAGTTGGAAAGAAACTGTTAGAGTGCGTAAGGTGGTGGGGAATCCACATCTCTGCAAGCTACCATGCAGAATTGGTTATGGCTCAAGGGGGGCCTGAGACAGACCCCAACATCAAGGATCCTGAGTTGGAGGATCGTGGGGAAGACACACCAGGGCAACCGATCACGTTAGAAGAGTGGAGACTCCTCCAGGAAAGCCGCCGTCCCAGGTCTGAATTCAACCTCAGGAATATAGAATCGGCTCTTCCCGCCCATGCAATCTTAATTTACTCCTCCATTTACAGGGAGGAGGTGGGAAAGGAACTTCGTGAACAAAACCTCTACCAACTCAACAGCTCATCTAGGGACAGTACACCTCACGGGGCAACAGACAATGGCAAAGTCTCTCGTCTCACAGGCAGAGCCAGAGCTCCCAAGAGGAAGAACAAGAAGGGCCAGGGATCTCGTGAAGCCGTCCAGGGATCTCACTACAGGCTTTGATATATATGCCTGTACACGTGCACACTCACCGACACTCCCTCAGAGTCCCTTGTAAGACATATTTTGTGTGTTGTGAGTGTGTGGTTGTCTCTGCTGATGTTATTGGAGAGGTTTGATTTATGGCTCGTTATTTGGAGGATATCTGTCCTCCCTGAGCACTGAGAATCATCAGGCACCATCTGATCCTGAGAGGGTCAGAGGAAGTGGCCAATCAAGCATGAAGGTGGAAAGAAGGCAGAGCATCTGGAGTTCCTGTGAAAATACCTGACACTCAGGGTCCAATTATCCCATTCCTTACTGTCTATTTTTAAAGTACATGTGTCCAAACATAGCATGTGTGAACTCTCGGTGTTATCCAAACATTCACCAACAGGAGAAGGAGTTGGAAATAAACTCAGTGCTTACACACAGAGACATGGAAAATGACCAGGGAACTGATAAACTAAAGCTCTATGTGGAAGCAGACTTTTCAGACTTTTCAGAAACATTTTGTGTCAGAAGGAGAGGAGCAGAATGAAACTGTAATTCATAACTGTGCAATGCTTTTAGTTACATAAATAGTATATCTTGTAAAGTCTACAGAGGTCGATGTGAACATTGGCTAATTACCTGTGAGTGGCAAACAGTAAATAGATGCTTAGTTTTCAGGAGATAAGTGGGTGGAGCCTTATTAGACCATGTTCATTAAATTAGGTTCCCTTAGTGATCCCCCTCCCATGGGACTGCAGAGAAGCTGGTGAACAGGAACCTTCTCCCACCCATAATCGCTTCACAGCCACCAAAAAGCTATACCTTATACGTCAGAGTTTGCTCCCATCCTCTATCTACAGTTTTCTCCACATGGGAGGAGGCATAGTGATTTCAAGTCAGTTGCATTACATTCTTGGTCTTCGGTTGTACACCTCAGAGCAACAGCCTCACGTGGACACCTTGGTAGTGATGTGGTATTTAAGGACAGGGTATGGATGGTTGCTCCAAGTCTCAATTCTATATCTTAGGAGAGAGACTAACTAAGTACACTGCTTAATGGGAATTAGTGCATGATCCTTAAATCTCTCCTATGTGAGGGGGACCATATAGGAGCAATCTGGTCATTTGCCAATGGCATGAATGGTAAATACTTTTTTTCTCAGTTTCCATTAAATATACATTTGTCACACTTTGTAGAAACAAATGTCAGTATTTGAATTTTGTACAGGAAATCATATTTAATTCTAGATTTTCAAATATCCTAACCAATTGAGGAAAAATATATTTTCCTTAATATCTTTTTAAAGTTAATTTGTGCATATCTATTGTTGTAGTGATTTATTTAAACATTAAATAAAATGTTTAAATAAACAGTGAGACAGAGAAAGAGCGTGAGCTGGGGAGAGGCAGAAAGAGGGAGACACAATATCCAGAGCAGTCTCCAGGCACTCAACAGTCAGCACAGAGCCCAACACTAGCTCGAATCCATGAACCATGAGATCATGACCTGAGTAGACTCAACCGACTGAGGTACCCAGGAACTCCTATATTTTAAAATTTTAGATCCAAGTCAGTTAACATTTACCATAGTCTTGGTTTCAGGAATAGAATTTAGGGCTTCATCACTTACAAGTAACACCGAGTGCTAATCCACACAAGGGCCCGCCATAATGCCCATTACAAATTTAGCCCATCCTCTCCACACCTCCCCTCTAGCAACCCTCACTTTGTCCTCTATAGTTAAGTGTTCTCCTGGGACACCGGGGTGGGCAGTCACTAATGACTCTGATTTCAGCTCAGCTCATGATCTCAGGGATCCAGAGTTTAAGTCCTGAGTTGGGCTCAATGCAGACAGCTCAAAACTGGAGCCTGCTTTGGATTCTGTGTCTCCCCCTCTCTATGCCACTCCCTGTTCAAGCTCTGTACCACTCTACTATCTCTCTGTCTCTCTATAGCTCAAACATAAACATTAAACAAAAATTTTTAAAGATCTCCTATGGCGTGTCTTCCTCTGTGATTTTCTCTGCTTTTATTTATTCTTCCCTTGTCCTAATTTCATCTATTTTGTTTTTTATTCCACATAAGAGAGATGATATGGCACTTTTTAATTGAAAGAGTTCAACAGGGATAAATGGATGTAAGATCTTGAGAGACTTTAACAAATGAAATCCATTTTCACTGTTGATTTGATTCTACATTGGGCAGAATCTTGGGTAAAATACAAACAGTGTATGCGCACCTGAGCCATGAAGGGAAAAGTCATAGAAAAATAACCACGCTAGGTCATCCTGTAGAAATTTTGGGATCCAACCTTCTCTTCCTGGATTGACATCTGCATCACATGCACGCACGGACACTATTTGAGCTGGATCCCATGAAGGTCTCCTTAAGCATCCATTCAGCTCCCTGGACGACTATGGCCAGCACCTCCTGGCTGAGCTCTGACATGGGTTCCACCCACACCTGAGGAAGTCCACACACCTGGCTTTGCAATCCATAGGGGAGGTCACAAGAGAGAGTCTTGCATGCTGCTCTCTGACCAGCAGGGGGCGGCACTGGCCAGCAGGGGCATTACATAGACTTCCAGGTGGACTTGATGTTGTGCAGTTGCTCAGGCAGGCAGCCAGGTCTGAGTCTCCATGCCTTGCGCTGCAGCCCGAGTATTTCCTGGGGCATAAAGGCGACGGTGAACATTTACAGGAGGTCTGGTGGGTCTAGGATTCTCTCCTTGTGACTCTCAATTTTGGCCGTGCTGGGCCCTGGACCCTGAGCTAAAATAGAGAACACTGAGCTTCTCAGGCCACTGGTAATAATATGTTTTCCAGTGATTCCAGGAACTTTTCTTTTAAAATATAAATCCACTTCAGTCAAGATATTAAATTTAAAAAATGCTGACCATTAACAAACAAGATTGCATGTGGGAAAACCAGTAGATGCCCTCACTCAGGGTGATGTTGCAGCAATTCTAGCAATAGGAACAGTGTTATTTGGGCCTACATATCCAGCTCACCTAAACTAGATTTCTCAAGGAAATCTTAACTCATAGATCTTACCCTTCAAGTAGAAAGGTATTAATGAGGCTACAGAAAAGGCAATATGGGGTGAGGCGCAAGAAGGTGGAACAGCATGGAAGTTTTTATTGCGTCTCGCGTCCATGGAATACAGCCAGATCAACACTACACCATCCTGAACACCTAGAAAGCGATTTGAGGATAAAGAGCAATCTGCACAACCTGAACCACAGAAGTCCGCAGGTACACAGCATGGAGACATGAACTGAGGGAGAGAGAAGCCACGAGAGCAGGGAGCTGGTGGTGCTTGTGGAATGAGGGTGGGGAGGGGGAGAGCACGGGACCCCCTCTCCCCCGGAAAAGCAGCTGGAGAGAAAGTGGAAAAACAGAAACGGTTGCGGGGACTGAGGTAAAAAGGCCGAAAGGAGAGGGTTAAATTCCACGAAGACTGTACACAGGGCAGCAGAGTCTGCACCTCTGCAGCTGGATACTGGCAGGAAGGGCGAGTCCCCGGGGCGGAGCGGGAGGTGCGAGGGGTCCCCGCGCCACACGGGAGAGGCGGTTCCGCTGCAGGGAGCACAGTGGGTAGAGTCTGCCTGGCCCCCCTGCAAGTGTCGCAGTGGACCCCGAACACCCACATTCGCTGGTGTGGGACGAGGGTGTTGGGGGAAGCTGGTGGCAGAGGAGCGCTGGGATTTCCCACAATCCCTGAGGCGCTGCTGCTACAGGAGCCTGTGGGCTTTTCCGGGGGCGGGCTGGCACCTGGTTGCAGTCTCTGGGCATCGGCAGCAGCACGGTCCCCAGGACGTTCCTGGGTGCGGCCAGCACCCGACCTCTGCTCAGTGACACCCTGCCGCAGAGGGTCACAACGGTCAAAGCCAGAGTCCGTCAGGAGTGAGGTGTTGGGGGAAAACAGCCGCATCGGAGATAAAACTCAGGAGGGAGGTGCCGCCTGGCAACGTGACAGTATGATTACGGACAGTGTAAAAGCGGAGAGTGGACCCAAGCCAGAAACAAAAGACAGGTGTGCGACTGCTAAATGGGGAAAACATAGTTATGACTGGAAATCTGGGTGACGCCATTGACACCCATCCCGCGCATGCGCACACACACCTACAAGCACCACAGCAATCCTCCCCGGTAGCCTAAGCAATGCCATCTCGTGGAACGTGGAGCAGTTACATTAAGTCCAGCCCAACTGGGCTGAACAACACAAGACTCTCTGCCTAATTACTTTATGGATCTTAAAGTGCCTTCTAGTTTGACTTCTAGGGGAAAACGATGTAATGTCAATCGTATTTCAGTCTGTTGACTGGTCCACTTACTCAGCTTACCTTTTTTTCCATATCTTTGCTTTCTCTTCAACACAGAAATAAAAATTTCATTTTTATTTTTCAATGTGTATTAAAATAATTTTCTCTAAAATTTCCTACAATATATTTTATTTTTTGTAAATTTTTCAAATTTTACTTCCATCATTTCATTTTAGTCTGTTTCATTGATTCATTTATTTATTTTTTCAAATTTTCAAACATTTTCCTTTTTTTCCCCCCCTCCATTTGATTTCTCTAATCTATCAAGCTCCTTTCAACAACCAAACCAAAACACACCTAGCATCTATTATCATTTATTTGATGTGTGTGTGTGTGTCTGTGTGTTGTTTCTAATGTTTTAATTTTATTTTTTTTTACCTCATTAGTTCCTTTTCTTCCTTCAAAATGATGAAATGATATTTAGGGAAAGAGCCATATTATTATGGCTTTAGCAGATGTAATAGAATAGGGCAGCGTGCAGGGCCTGAGTCAGGGGCTGGGGAAAGGGAATAGCCTCTGTCTCCAGTCACAGAGATTGCTTGGATAGAGTTTGGGGTGGAGCTCACCCTGTGGCTTCCATGCTTCCCTCTTCATGAACGTGATATTGGATGGCCAACAGGTAGTTGCTCTGCTTTCTAGTTGCACACCTCTGCAGAGACATAGTGGAGCAACCCCGAAGCACTGCTCTGTAGGGGGAAGGAGCAGGCATGGTTCTTCCTAACGAAGGAAATCCTCTCTATAGACCTATGGGGTATCCCTTGGTCTTCCTCAGAGTTTGTCCCGAGGGTCAGAAGAAAGATAGCCAGTTCCTAAGGAGACATTTTGATCACCACGTGCCTGGCATGTCCAACATTGCTGTTTCCTCAAATCCTATGGAAGGCAGCAACTCCCAAGCGCTGGTCTCCAAAAGGCAACCAAAATGTGCATCTCTTGAAGTAGGATTCCGACATATGCATATATGAAACCTCGGATCCCATTATGGGCGAGAGAGACTGAGGCTGCATGCAGGGCACATTGGAGGTACACAGGATCACCGGGAAATATTTTTAGTGTTTAGGTATTGATTCTTTGGGTGGGGAGAGAGGGAATGAGTTGGGGAGGGGCAGAGTGAGAGACACAGAGACAGAGAGAGAATCCCAAGCAAGCTCTCCACTGTCAGACACGGGGCTTGAACTCATGAACCATGTGATCATGACCTGAAGTCAGGAGTTAGATTCTTAACCGAATGAGCTACCCAGGTGCCCAATCACATGAAGATAATTTTAATAAGCATGTGTTTACATACTCCAACTGGGTTTGCCTGAGATTCTGAATGTCTATGAAGACATATGTCCTATCGAGCTCTTCTTTCCTGACAGGTAATTAAGTTTTGACAAAGTAAATAATTATAAATAATCTTAAAGCTGAGGAAAAAACCACTCACATTATGTACTCTCTATAGAAATTTTATTAAATATGGAAAAAAGAAACATAACTTCATGTTAACACTTAATAACAAAAATGAAGAAAGTAGGTAATATATTCCCCATTACAATTTGCACAAAAATACCATCAGAGAGCCTACCAAATTTCATCTCTACTTCAAATTGGCAGGGTCAACAGTTGGATCCTTTATTCAGAATCTCCAAATTAGACATTTGCAAATCAGAAACATTTGATTTCATAGGTTATGTTTACATTCAGGCTTACAACTTATTCCTCTAATTTCACTAAATTTCTTAACTATGCACTTAAATAAAATAAGCTGTACACCCACGTTGATAAATATCATGTGAAATAGAACACATTACCTAAAGAAAAAGTGTGTACTATGTTGGGGGAAAGGATGTATGCATACATGCGATACACGTGTGATATCGAAATATGATCAGGGCTCCAATTTTGTATATCGAGCCCAACAGGGGAATTGCTAATTTGCCATAAATAGCCAAATCTGAAACGTGTTTTCAATTAAACACTCGCCTCCTAAGGACACCAAGTTGGAGCTCAAGACCCAGAGGACTTCAGGTATCTCACTACCAATCACACTTATCTGAGGATGAGGAAATTTGTAGGTGATCAAAGAGGACACTCAATGAGATGCACACACAGGGTCCATCAGGCTTGTTTGTGACAGGCGGGTCCTGACCAGGGTGGGGTGGCATCTTAGGAGGTGGCAGTGAGATGCCTGCTAGGAACCTGGAGCTCCAGCCACCTGTATCCAGTTGTCTGAAGACCATTTGGGGCGGCTGGTCAGAGCCTGCTGACACGGTGCACACGGGGGCACGGTCCATGCCTGGAGAGTGTCCAGGTGAGATCTGGGAAGTGGTGGCTGGAATTCCATGCTTTGCATGGAGGCAGATTTCTTCTGGGTCATGTGGGCTGAGCCTGTGTGTCCACAGGCACTTCCTCTTGCTGGACGACACAGACTCTGGCCAAGCCACACATGGGTGCTCCCTATGCTCCAGTCGGGTTGGTGGAAGGGGCTCCATCGTGGTTTCTTTGGAGGGTTCTGGCACATCTCGTCGGGGATCGGGGCCCATCTCTTGGCTGGTGCCTGCATGTGGGGCTGGGCGACGGGAGCCCGTCGGGTTGCGGGATGAGGAGACTCGACCTCAGGACGCTTGGCTGGTGCCTGGGCGTGGCCAAGGCCATGCGCCTTGGAGACGGCCTGCGGACCCTCACGGGAGGCCCATCGGGGCCTGTGTTCAGTCGGCTGGACGACGAGGCCGGGATCCCGGGCAGAGCGTTGGCGTGCCGGGGCAGGCGGCTCAGGGGCCCCCACACCCGGGGCATCACGGCGTCCAGCTGTTGGCCAGGTGCTCGCCGCACGTCTCCCGACAGAAGCCGACGGGGACAGCTGGGTCGGTACGGCGTTCCTGCTAGGAGGCTCACCCGGGACTGCTTGTGGCTCCGAGTCTCATGCCCTCTTGGTGGTGTACACGGGCATCGGCCTGTGTGGATGCTGTGGGGACACACAAGGCACAGAGAACAGTCGTGAGTTTTGCCTCACCGCCAAGGACACGTTCACGACCAGCACAGCAAGCAAAGAAACAGAAACGCCAAGACCTTAGGCCATGCCCAAGCACTGGGACAGACGGAGAAGGATTCCATTGGCAGAGGAAGAGGTCCTCCAGCTCAGTGCCGATGGGAAATCAACACTGGGCAGGATCGCCTGGATGCTTCGATTCCATCAGAGGGACTACAGGCAACGGTCTCCAACATGTGTGCCTCCGGAAGTGGACCAGCACTTCCATTCAGGCTTCTAGGGAAAGTACAGACATCGTGCTGGTTGGGATTCAGTATGGAGGCTAGTGAGTTCCAGGGCCAATTTGGGAGTGTGTGTCACAAAAAAGGATGCCTGTTCTTCCAGAGAGGGATCTAGGTGTTGGAAGAGTGTCTTGATTTAATGTACACACCCTCACCAGCCACACAGTTAGAACACATACAAGAGATCCTGCAGAAGCAAGGACATAGGAAAAGTGGGCGGAAAGGACCCGCAGGGAAATCACCTTGGTCAGAATCGAAGTCCAAACCCATCTGCTCCCAGGTGGGCAATGAACCCCATCACTGTGCCAGGGAGAGACAAAAGCAGGAACAGAGTACACTCACCTTCACATAGTCACAGGATTCTGTAGATTCCTGCCAGGATCGCTGCTGTCTTCCTGGGGGTCTCCTGGGGAATCTCTGGAGCAGCCCTTTCCTCTGCTGAGTTTCTTGCCCACACAACAAAGCATGGGAAGTAGAAGGAGCTGCATTTCGTGTCTTCCATAACCTTCGTTGCTCCAGATTCTCCCTCGGCTTCCTGGAATCCATGGCCTGGGGAGCCAGGAACCCATCCCAGTGCTTAGTGGGGCACCAGCTGCTTGATGCTTTGTGCCCAAAGGCTCTATAGTGCTTAAATTTTACGTGTGTGAAGAACGGTGGAGGGGCTCAGTGAATGAGAACAAACCACAATCCAACTACAAAGAACAAGAGAAGGACATATTCTTAGAATGGAAGATTGGTCCTGGACAAGGTATATCATATATGACCCTTGAGCTTCGGTATATTTAATATCATAGAATGCTACCCAGACCTCTGTGGGACAGAGACCACTGGAGGCATGGGAGATTTCAGACTGCATAGAATGAGCCACATGGAAATATTTGGACAAACACCAGCCTAGAGCTGACCAGAAAGACTGATCCCCAAATCTGAAGATCCTAGTGAGCTTGCTGGGGAGATTCCAAGGCAGACCATCCTTGGCTAGGAAAAGACAACTGACTTAGAGACACAGAGCTTGTCATGGGTGATAGCCATCTCTAGAGTTGTGACTCACCACTTGCTTCACCACACCTTCAAGGACCCACTTACCTTACGATCCTCTTCCACTGGCCTGGGATTCCAGCGTGCCATGGAGACCCTATGTTGCTTCTTCCATTTTGGGGTATTCAAGGGTCTGTAACATTCCTGACTGGTGTGACCTCTTGCCATCTGCCCCACCTCCTTGAAGGGTCAAGTCAGCCTTCCTTGGATAGAGGTTATTGGATTTACTGAGTCAAAAGAGAAAGGATTGTCATAGTCACACAGATACATGACTCTTTCATATGCTGCTTCTAACAGCAGGCATGAGGGGGCGTCATGACCACCAGATCAAATATAGTCCTCACCCTGCATGACCTAGCCTTCCTGCATGTCTACACAGTCTCTTGAGGATCCATCCCCAGCACGGGAGCCTTAGGGAAGGCAGGGGACGTGGTCTTGAATGACTCATTGGAGAGATTTTCAAGAAGTCTCTCAAATGTACTCTGGGAGCAAAGCCACAGGAAATGATGCCCCAACTTACACTGGAATCAATGTTATGACAATACTACCTGCCCCACAGAGAGCTGACTGTGGAAAAGGAAGTATTCCTGCCACTTAAAAATCTAAACTACCCATTCGACACAAAAGGAAGCCATTTTCAAATATGAATTCACTTCCAAAAACCTAGTAACCCTTCTACCTTATTGGAAGCTGGCCAGGTGAGCGTCTGAACTCTTATTTATGGTTTCCTTCCAACTGCTCCCCCACCCCCAATGAACTCACTTGTTCCCCATGGGACAGGAATATCTGAAATTCGGTAAACAAGTAAATTCTTTAGGCTTTGAGGACCCGCTCCATTTTGGTGCTGTCGCTGCTCCTGCACAACCCCACTCCCATCAGACTCGGGATTTGTTCCTTTGAAATGAGAACCTCACGTCCTCAGCATCATTGAGAGCCATGCCTTTCACCAGCCTCTGTTCTGGGAATTCGCCTCCACACGGAAGAGGCCTTCACCTGGTGTGGAGAGGCCCATGACAAGCTCCATTGGCTCCCTGTGCCATGTCTCTGCCAGCTCCTGTGAGGCCCACAGGGTGCAAACCCACCTGAAATGCAGAGGTGCTCCTCCTGGGTGTCACGAGACGTTCAGAAAGGTGGGCTGCAGGTGCGCTCCAGCGGAGGAGACTCGGCGTGGCGTCCGGCGTGCCCGAGGAGCAACGGGCAGCGAGGGACACTCCCTTCCCTCCCAGACATTTATAGCCGCCCAAGGTCACATGACCTTTCAGGCATGTAAATCCTAGTAATTCAATCAGCTTTGTTGTCCCTCCTAGAAACTAGAAATTAACCCTTGCGGGCTAGCATTTTTACGCGTTTTAAAAATGTTTTCTTTTAATGCTTGTCTATTTTTTGAGACACATACACACACACACACACACACACACACACACACACACCACGATCATGGGAAACGCAGAGACAGAGGTAGACAGAACCTGAAGCAGGCTCCAAGCTCCCAGCTGTCAGCACTGAGTCCCACATGAGGCTTGAATCCACAAACCATGAGAGCATGACCTGAACCAAAGTAGGACGCTTCACTTACTGAGCCCCCCAGGTGCCTATCATCCCTTTGTAACTATTATGGTAATGGAAATAGACTATTCAGAATACATATTTACTCTAAGAAAAAGACACATGTCTGTGTGTTCCTGTTTCCTTACTAAATATGTGTTTCTTGTTTGCCTACACGGATGCTTAGGGTCCCCTTGTGTCCTGTATGTTCACGTTCATGAAGGGGACCCCTTCAGCATTCTCCATGTCCAAGCTTCTCATTTTCCCAATTGGGGCGGTGTGTCTGTGACCTATTTCCAGTGTCTGTTCACTGCACACGCTACCCTCCCCAGTCCCTTTCTGTCCCTTGGGTGGTGACTGCGCTTGCTAGGACATTCGGAGGAATGGGAACCCCGGTGCTCCGGGTCCCCTTGGGACTAGCTTCTGTGGCACGTGGTCTCGTGACCCACATCACTGTTGCTGACAAGTCCCTGTGTTGACACATGAGGCTCCCTGTATGCCAGTCTCCTCATTTTGGTTTCTTTCTTCTCGCACAGTAACTCAGACATTCCATTTAGCGTTTTCTCCCCTTGGTGAATATTGGTGTATTTTCCACCATTTCTCATGAGGGCATCGACACTGTGTCAGGTAGATGGCTTTGGGATCTTGGAGGGAAATTCTCTGACGGCAATGTGGACCTTTCTTCTCTGGGCATTCCCACCTGTAATCCAAGCGAGCACCTCTCTCGTAAAGCAGTCCACCAATCAGCGCCCCCACTGGTCGAGGTGGAGGGCCTCCTCTTGCAATGCCATTGGCGCTCTGAAGAGTTTCCCTCTGAGGAAAGATGTGTGCACTTTTAGGTTGGCCTTTCGTATCATCTCCATGAGGCTGCTCCTGTGGCCTCTGTCCACTGGCCTCAAGACGCGGCCCTCTCCCAGCCTCGTGCCCTGCAGCCCCGCCCACGGCTTCCTCCAGCCTCAGCCTGGCCTCCCAAGATGGCAGGGACCACTGCCCCACCCTGCCCCGCAGCCTTCCTCCCCCTGCCCCACCCATCACCACACCCCTTCCCATTCCTCTCAACCCTCAGTTGGCCTCACTTCATGTCCAGGCCAGCCTGACGCTCCACGTGGCCAGCCTGGCGCCAGCCACTCTCAGGACCCCTCCCTAAGAATATTCCACCAGATCATGTGTCGGGGCGGGGAGGCGAGCGAGGCTAGGGCAGAAGCATACCTTTGGTTTTCACCTCTTTCTAGAAAATCTCTTGGATTTTCAATGGACGATGTAAGATGATAGTCTCAGACATATCTGCTGTAATTCTTACTTTGCTCTTTAAACAAAGTTATCCTCCCTTTGTATTCATTTGTAACTATAGGTATGTCTGGGAAAGAATGAGAAAATACTTTTGAATGGAGTCATTCAGGCTCCTGAGGAGGAAGAAAATCTATATATTTCTCTTTTGAAAAATATAAAGTGAATATTTAGACCTAGTCTGTACATCAAGAATACAGACTATTTCTTGATTTGCTTTGTGGATATTGTACTGCAGACTTAGATTTAAATAGCAAACATTTGTTTATTCTTATAGTCCTGTAAATTTTTTTTATTCATTTGTCTTACGTGTTTATTTGTGAATATTTTTTATTTATATATTCAATGTCTGTGTGTTTCCTTTAGTGTACAATGTATGCTTAAAACTATTAATTTCCATAGTTCTTTCCATGTCTCATTACTACAATCTTGTTAATGAAAGCTATCTAAGCACAATATTTACATATTACCTAGTCGGATATGAAGTCCATATTGAATGTTTAAAAAATCCCCCATGGCTTGAACTATGGGACCAGCGCTGTTAAGGTGTGGAGCTTATTGGTATTACTTGTCTCTAGGACAGTTCTTATTATCAATATAAACCTTTTCTTATACTATAAGGCATTTATGTTTTCCGTATTGGAATCCCACCTCTGCCCTGCTCTTTTTTTAATACTTCTACATAGGGAATGAAAAAAGAGTGAGGGAGAGAAGGAGATAGACGGAAGCAAACCATAGAGATTCTTAACTAAAGAGAACAAACTGAGGGTTGCCAGAAGAGAGAGAGGTGAGAGGATGGGCAAAATGAGTGATGGGTATTAAGGAGATCATTTGGTGGGATGAGCACTTGGTGTTGTATGTAAGTGATGAATCACTGGGTTCTACTCCTGAAACCTATATTACACCATATGTCAACTAACTAGAATTTACATACCAATTTGAAACAAACAAACAAACAAAACGAAGTGGAGTACAGTTCATTCTGGGGATGGAGAGAGGGAGTAAGAAAACGGACGATCCTGCCCCTGAGGACACGGCTTCAAAAGTACTCTTTCAATGGTGCCTACAAGAACGAAGGACATCAGGAAGAACATGCTCTTCCCAAATCAAGAGCTTCAATACATAAAGATAAATTATAAAATGGAGTAAATGGAAGTTCTGGAGTTCAAAAGTATAACAGATGAAACAGGAAAAAAAAAAAAAACCAACCCAGAATAAGAGTGGCCCAGAACTAGATTTGATCAGGAGACAAACTAATTTGTGAACATGAAGGCAAATCATTTGAAATGATCAGTCATGGTTTATGGATGAGCCAAAGATGGTCTCTGCATATCAGCCCTATGTGGTTTATTTCTTCACAGCAGACAGAGCTCTTAGGCTCAAAATACCATTGTTGCCAAATTCAAATTTTTACACACTGAATTGTTTCAAGCATAGCCCAAATCGGTAGATTTTAAGCCATTTTAAGCATGGCCATATCTTCTGAGCATACCCTGTGAATCACCACCTAATGTCTACTAGCAGGAAATAAGATAAACCATGAATATCTGTCTCCAAGCTCCTGTCATTCATTCCTAATTCTCTGGCTCAGAGATTCCCTGTCTTGCTGTTGAGAGACATCCTCTCCACAGGTAAGTCCCCTCTCTAACCCCTCACCTCTGGGGGTGTCTTTGCCCTCCTAGCTTCCTGGGTAGGGGACCCACATTGTGGCCACCGGAAGATATCATCCTGTTAGGGCCCTCCTCACTCCATCAGGCTGTCAGTGTTCCACTCAAACAAATCTTGTGTGATTATGCCCCACTGTCATCAGATAATTGTATGTGATCAGCCCTATACTGACGTGCCTTAATCTCACTACAACAACTGCCCAATACACATCCATGTGGGTATGGATAAATCCCACTGTGACATAGGGGTGTGTGCATCCATCTTAGGAGTCTCAACAGGAGCACAGGCCCCACCCCTATCCCTTCCCTTCTGGTGACACAGGGAGTGGTGATTCCTGGCTAGGCACCCGATAGGTCTCAAATAAGGCGGTTGCCAAAAGTTACAGTTCAGTTCAACTACAACTTGGGGATAGACATATTCCTTTAGGCAGATAATAGTCAGTTGCTCATCATCCTCACACATGAGTTGCCAGGTTTCTACCCTACCTGGACCATAGGATCACTGGTGGAGATGTTTTTTGAATGATCTATCAGTGTCAATTAGGGATGTGCTGATTTCTTTGGTCTCAAGCCATGTATTTGGGATTGACCTATTTTGGGTAGAGCAGAGACAGCCCAGTAGATCTCCTTGGAGTATTTCCCCTTGATGTTTAGGTTCAAAACTGGTGTTGGTCAAAGGACAATATTTCCAACCCTTGGAGACAAAGCATGGGCATTTCCTTTGTGAGAATGCGTATTTTGCTTGGGGAAGAGTACATGACATTCATTATTAAAAAAAAAAAAAAACACCTTATGGGGTGGCTAATGGGTTTAGGGATTTTATCATGCTAGAGCCCTATTTTCTGGTCTGCAGGTGGGGTGGTGAACAGCTATGGCTCTATCTAAGGTGATTGGAGGATGCATGAATCAGGAATTACCTTAAGAGGATATAGACTATGGTCATGGAATTAACTCTTGTTACCATTTAGCTCAATTCAGAAGTTTGGGGATAAATCCGAGAAGCTTTCTGGGGGCTGGGAGGGCATAGCTGCCTATCTCTCTGGTACCAGGTTGCTTTCAGTAGCAGAGACATAGACTGAAGGGTCACCAAAAATTTTAGACTAGATGTCCTTGATAGTGAGGGCCTCCGTGATTTGCCTGACCGGGTTCCTGACACTGAGACACCAGGAAAGTGGGGCTAAAGGTCAGGACTATGCCACCACTGGGTCTGACGGGAAACAGATGGTGTTGGAGGCAAGTTGGAAAGAGTGGAGCTGATCTGTGTGGAAGGAGATGTTGGAGAAAGAGGAGATGCAGAGAGTTTTGCTAAGGCTCTCACCCACATACCAAGGAGTGCAGAATGGAAACTTTACAACTGCATACAGAAAACTAGAACACCATCATGTAGCTTCCTTAGCAACAGGTTTTATTGTTTCAATATTTGCAAGAGTTGATCTTCAAAAAATGTTTAATTTACTACAAAATGTTACATTCAACATTGCCAGAGCATGTCACTCTCCTATATTCCATGCCACATTTTCCACAAATAGGTATTTTCTCAAAGTCTCGATGACTTGCTGGTTGTCTACTAAAAGACCCTTTCATATAGAGCATAACGACCACACGCGCGCGCCCGCACACACACACACACACACACACACACACTCTTCTGATACAAAATCTGGCTGAAGCGTTCTCTACTCTGATTTCAGGACTGCTATCTCCTCAGTGTGAGAACCTTACTGTTGACTCAGAAATAAGGGATCACTGAAGAATTCCCTTCACTCTCCACACTGAGAGTGTTTCGTACAGTCTGAATCCTCACATGTGCAGCCTGAGCTTTTCTTTAAATAAAGCATTTCCCATGATTTTACATGGAATAACTTCTCTGGTCTGAATTATTTGTAAGAATTGTTTGGTATTCCTCAGAGCCTTCATTTTGTTACATCCTCAGTGTTTATTCCTTCACTGAATTTTCTTGTGCTCACCATACCAGGTACTTGGCTGAATGTTCTTTCACAGTGATTACAGACCCAGGGGTTCTCCTGTGTCGAGTTGGTTCATGTTTAACAATAATTACAAACCACTGTTCCAGTATCTTTCAAGTTGAGTGCTTTGTTGAAAACATCTGTATCATTTTATTTACAGCATGAGTTCTGCTGTGTTATCTAAGGTCATATCAACGACTAAATGCTTTGCCACATGGACGGCATACATATGAATTCACTTCCTCGTGCAAATACATTTCTTGATGGAGGAGTATGAGGACTGAAGGATCTCCCATACTGACTACAGGCTTTTCCTTCAATATGTGCATTCAGTGGTGAGTTTAAACATTAAAGCTGTGACTGATACTTCTTCCACATTCATTGCATCTGTAATACCATGTCGTCTCTATTCAGAATACTTACCGAGGGCACTCCCGATTTTCTCTCTGGTGTTGGGTACCCTCATGTCGTCTAAGGGAAGAATAATGGCTGAAGGCTTTCCCACACACCTGACATGCGTAAGATTGCTCTCCAGTGTGCGTTCTCTCGTGTCGTCTAAGATTANGACACACACGTGGTTTATCTCCGGTGTGGATTCTCTTGTGCTGGCTAAGGCCAGAGCTCTGACTAAACGTTTTCTTACATTCATGACACTGGTAACATTTCTCTCCAGAATGAATTTTCTCATGTTTTCTAAGGTAGGATCTGTGACTGAAAGCCTTCTTACACTGATGGCATTCGTATGGTTTCTTTCTGGTGTGAATTTTCTCATGCTGTCTCAGGTAAGAATTCTGCCTGAAGACTTTCCCACACACATGGCATTCATATGGTTTCTCTCCTGTGTGTGTTTGACTGTGGTTTCTAAGGTCAGAGTTTTGCACAAAGCCTTTCCCACATAGGTGGCATTTAAATGGCTTCTCTCTAGTGTGAATCATCGCATGTCCCCTCAGGCAAAAGCAATTACTGAAGGCTTTCCCACACACATGACATTTATATAATTTGCCTCGTGTGTGCATTTGGCTATGTCGAGGAAGGGGTGATTGTTCACTACGTGATATTCTACACCGTTTGCTGGTGTAATGTTTCTTCCTGAGGTGTAGTACCAAATGTTGAGTCAATGTAGATCTCTGAGTAAACTCATCACCCAAATCAATACATTCAATAAGATTCTCTGGAGCAAGATATTTATGCTTTGGTGAGAAGATGAGAGTTGGTTAATGGTTTGCCCACATACATGCATACATTATGTTTCTACATATGTATTCTAGAGTAGCAACTAGTAGTAGACTTCTTTTAAAATATTTTAAATGTTAGTTGCATATACATGTTGTTACTCCTCTGCAGGTACCAATATTTTCTCTTTTTAAATATCCCAATAGCAGAGGTATCAGATTAAGTTTGAAGGCTTCAGTATATTTAGAAGATTAGGTAATAAACAATGTTGATGCAATTGTATCTCTATTGGGTTATTATTGATTTGAGCTCATGTTACTTTCTTTTGATTTAAAACTATCCAAAACCTTTTGTCTGGAAAAAGCTTAATCCTAAGTTAATAACATTAAGGCAATTGTCCTCAGTTATCAACATATCTCATTACCTTTAGGCCTTTAGTTTGGATGTCTAGGGACTATACCCATGACACTTACCTTTGGCACAGTCAGGGCTATGCCCTTTTTGTTGGTATGTCGTGTTAATATCATTTCTTGTTTTCTGTGGAGACTTTCCATGCCTAAAATAATTGAAAAAATATTAATTGTTAGAACAACATTAGGGGAATAAAAATGTAGAAAAGCACCAGGGTCCACACAAGTATGATTCAGAAATTGGCACTTCTTTGGGAACGTGTGCCAAATGAATAAATACTTTGGGTCATAGTAACATTTTAAAGTTCATTGTCAATTAGAAAACAATGATCATTGATAATATGAAAGATGTAAAGTGGTGGAAAGATGTTGGGTCAGCAAATGGTTGGAAGATCTCTTAATGGAAAAATCAGGATCATTACATCAATGTTTCCCTTCAGTAACTGCATGAATATTTTTTTCCCTATAGAGAAAGACAGGGGCAGGAAGAAACATGCATTGTGATTGATTTCTGCAAGGATTGAAACCACCGGCCAGTACATCAAAGTGTCACTGCAGTAATTGCATGGATATTTTTTTTTCCCTAAAGAGAAAGACAGGGGCAGGAAGAAACATGCATTGCGATTGATTTATGCAAGGATTGTAACCACCTGAGGAATTCTGTCCCAATGTCCTCACTTATATTTTAGAAAGTATCACTTACTTGACAAAATCTTCAGGGTGTACTTCTAAAGGACATACTCAGAGTAGGCACCTGCTCCTACTGAATCACAGATCCCTGCTACTCAACTGGACTCTACTCCTGGAGAAATCCAGTTACTTCAGTCTGCAGTTCTCCTTCTTGCTCCAACAGAAAGGGTCTTTTGCAGCTATTCTTCCCTGATGGGGGTGTGTGTGGGGGGGAAGTGGAAGTATATGGATTTCGAGTTCTTTGGGATTAACATTGGTATCGCCAAGTCCAGGGCAAGATTTACCAAGGATGAATGAAGATATTATGGAAGGTCAACCCGTGTATCGACAAGTTCTACAGAGACCACACTGAAGGTCGTTCATAGGACGAGGAGGAAATCCAGATGGAGGCAAAAGCAATGAACATGCTAGATGCTGATACCCACACACGAGTTCAAAGAAAGAATGCAGAATCTTCAGCCTTTTCAAGATGGGAGAGAATCAATGTCTCCACATTAGATTGAAAATTGTTTTCAAACAGCATCGATGAATATAAGACCCATAAGAATAATCAAAATAATGTTATTCTCACAACTCTGGTCTCAATCCTCCACATAGTGACGAAAACAGTAATTGTTTTTAAAATGTTTAGTCAATTTAGGAATGAAAATATCCAGCGAATTTCCAGTTCTAGTCCTAATGCTGGAGACTGAGTCATAAGAAAGGTGTGAATCTGTGGTCAAGATTACAATCCAGTGTGGTGACAAAAAGTACAAGGTGAAGAAACATCTCCCTTCTATATAATTATGAGAGTTATAAAAGAAACAGGGCAGCGTATGGAGTGGGATATGCGGAGCTGTTCTAGATATTTCTTCAATGAATGAATGAATGGACGGACACACATGTACATGTTGGGAGACTCACCCAGAAAGATCAGATGATTGATACTTTCCAGCATCACATCTCTGAACAGCTTCCGCTGGGACGTGTCCAGCAGAGCCCACTCTTCTTTGGTGAAGTCTACTGCTATATCTTCAAACGTCACTGATTCCTAAAACATCATGGATATTCCAGTTTAGATAGAGCACTCCCTACAGACGTCCCGTGTAGGAGGGTTGAGATGACAGCACTGAGGAAGGGGGTGGAGGAGCTGGGTGTATAGAAAGATCAGTATGTGTTTGGGGCTTCCTGTCAGTTCACTGTCAGTGCTGAACTGTTGGATATGTTTACAGAGATCTCCACATTCTGACTTCATAATACTTTATTATAAAAGAAAATCGCATGATGTGTGGTACCATACAACTGACCATACTCTCTCTCCTTTATGTGAGTGCAGTTAAGAAAATATTACCCCTTCTACATTCTTTCCAGTTGTCAAATATGAAGAAAAGGTTGATTTGTAAGAGGTAAAAATGTGTGATTGTGGAGAAACATGATAGTGGTCATTTTAGTTATGTTTTTTAGAACATTTCAAAAGTGTAAATTCTAATGATTGTATTAGCAAATACAATAGAATATAATACAATAGAATGGAGAAGAAAACATAAAATGATTGTTCATTCCTTCTGTGCCCCTCTCCTGCTCTTCTCAACGCTGAACAAGGCTCACACCAAGTCTTCTAACACTGGATTAGTTATACTCACATGCCGAAACATCTGCCTCTCATTGGGACTCTCATATTCTCCTAGCACTCCTCTAGAACTTGCAATCACCACCGTCCTAAGCCCATTACATCCAAAAGTAGTTAATGAGTGAATTATCCACCAATGAGGTCATGGCTGGATGAGGGAAGGAAGACTTCTCTTGTCTCTTCTGTAAATATACAAGCTGAAAGGAAGCTCTCGTAAACTTGCATAATGTTAGGAAGGAAATTCATTATCAATAAGTTCCTGACAGATAAGCAGTATTCCAGAATACTGGAGAAATTAGAGCACAGATGCCTGAACATCAACTGACTCCACTTGCAACATCCATGCCAATAGAAAAACCCCGCCCATCAGCTGGCACTAGGGTGTGATTTCTGCAGGAAGAGGCAATACCCACTCACCATTGTCAATTAGTCAGTTGCCAGGTGTCTTTCTCTGGGTTCTCACTCACAGACAGTCGAAGCACTAAGCAGGCAAAGCTGAGGACGGAGAAGGAAGCCATGAGATCCAGTCCTGTGCACAATTTCCAGGCTCATGTGTCATGAAGCCCAGACCTTCACCTGAGTGTGACACCCAGCCCAACAAACGACAGTTGGTGTACTCTGAGAATAGGGTGCTGGAGGTCACTCCATCCCAGGGTCAAATGTAACTTTATAGTTGTGGCTGAAAATAAAGAATGTCACAACACAGATCTCTTACAAATCAGAACATGACAAACATTCCGCTGTATACATTCATTAGCCTATGGTATCCTGAATACTCCAGTTCCCTCACTGATTCCAGAGTGGAACGCTCCCCAGCTCATGCCACATATAGAGTTTGGTTTCTGCCTGAAGATACACACTGAAGAATTTCTCAGATTTCATTATTCTTACCGTATGCTCTGGCCATCATTCTCCAGCATCTATGGCTGCTCTCTGAAGCCTCAGTCCCTTCCTGCTCTCAGGTTCCCTCCTGGGCCTGGATATCAAGCACCTAAGAATCTATTTTACAATAGTGTAAAACAATTCAGACTTTTATAAACCCATTTCTCCCCTGACATCAATAGTTATTGAATGTATTTCATGGAGAAATAATGCAAAAGCATCATGCACAAAGGGATCATTAACTCACCCATCTGTATTTGAGGTCAAAAAATAAAAATGTTAAATTTTCAGAGAGAGAGAGAGAGCAAGAGCATGAGAGGGAAAGACGCAGAGAGAGAGGGAGACAGAATCTAAAGTCGTTCTAGTGTGGTAGGGTCCCCTCCCTAAAGAAAGAAAAAAAAACACAACATCTCAAGGCAACCTTGTTATTTGCATATGTGACAACATCCCTTATGACCCTGTAACATGAGACCACTTTAATCAGACTGCATGTGTGTGTTACCACACATGGGAGACAAAGAAGTAAAAAATATATATATATATTTTTTTACAAATAGTTTATTGTCAAATTAGTTTCTACATAACACTCAGTGCTCATCCCCAAAGTGCCCTCCTTCATGCCCATCTCCCCCTCCCCCCCACATCCATCAGTCCTCAGTTTTTGTCAGCATTCAAGAGTCTCT